AGCTTGATTAAATCTATAAAAATATGTAAGTATAGCACCATACCTATCAGGAAGACCATTACATTTGGACATTTGCCTAATGAAGGGGAGAGAGGGACTATCTTGGCAAAACCATTTTAAATATTTGGTCTTTCCCAGCCAATAACTGAGAGATGTCATCCAATTACATTTAATGTTGAAAATTAGTAGTATATGACACAATTTAAAAGGTCACAAATTTCTTTTCAGCCTTGAAAACACATCAGATCTCTTTCATATGAGTGCAAATATTTGTGAAGATTAGATACATTTTTCAATTTATTTTTTATTTTTAATGTTTTATTGATTATGCCATTACAGTTATCCCATTTCCCCCTTCATTCCCCTCCACCCTGCATACCTCCTCCCCCCAATCCCCCCTTAAGTTCATTTCCACATGTCACAAGTTCTTTAGATTCTGTATTTCCTATAATATTCTTGCCCTCCTATCTATTTTCTACCTACCATCTATGCTATTTATTTTCTGTACCTTCTCCCCCCTTCTCCTCCTCCCACTCCCCTGTTGCTAACCCTCCATGTGATCTCCATTTCTATGGTTCTGCTCCTGATCTAGCTGTCTTCTTAGTTTGCTTTTGTTTTAGGTATGGTTGTTAACAACTATGAGTTTGCTATCCTTTCACTGTTCATCTTTTTTATCTTCTTTTTCTTAGATAACTCCCTTTAACATTTCATATAAGGGCTTGGCAATGATGAACTCCTTGAATTTGACCTTATCTGAGAAGCACTTTATCTGCCCTTCCATTCTAAATGAAAGCTTTGCTGGATAGAGCAATCTCAGATGTAGGTCCTGGCCTTTCATGATTTGGAATACTTCTTTCCAGCCCCTTCTTGCCTATAAGGTCTCTTTTGAGAAGTCAGCTGACAGTCTGATGGGAACTCCTTTGTAGGTGACTGTCCCCTTATCTCTGGCTGCTTCTAGAATTCTCTCCTTCATTTTAACCTTGGCTAATGTAATTATCATGTGCCTTGGTGTGTTCCTCCTTGGGTCCACCTTCTTTGGGACTCTCTGAGCTTCCTGGACTTCCTGGAAGTCCATTTCCTTTGCCAGGTTGGGGAAGTTCTCCTTTATTATTTGTTCAAAGAACTTTTCCACTTGTTGCTCTTCCTAGTCCCCTTCTGGTACCCCTATAATTTGGATGTTGAAATGTTTAAAGATGTCCTGGAGGTTCCTAAGCCTCTCCTCATTTTTTTGAATTCTTATTTTTTCATTCTTTTCTGATTGGATGTTTCTTCCTTCTGATCCACTCCATTGATTTAAGTCCCAGTGTTCTTTCCATCACCATTGGTTCCCTGAGCATTTTGCTTCATTTCACTTAGTTTAGCCTTCATTTGTTCATCTAATTTGTGACTAAAATCAACCAGTTCTGTGAGCATCCTGATCACCAGTGTTTTGAACTGTACATCTGATAGGTTGGCTATCTCTTGATTGCTTAGTTGTATTTGCTCTGGGGCTTTGAGCTGTTCTTCTTCTTGAGCCATAATGTTTTGGTCTGTTTCTGCCTTTTACTTCTGAGGTGTGGAGCCTTAGGTTTTCACCAGGGCGGGGCCACCCACGTTTTGGGCTTGTGACGCTGTATGTGGAGGCAGGGTCAGAGAGAAAACAATGGTGCTTGCTCCACTTGTATTTCAGTTCCTTCCACCACTTCCCACAAGCAAATTGGGCCCTTCTGGTGCTGGTTCCCCGGTGGGCTTGTATACATTCTAGGACCCTGTGGGGCTCCCCAACATATTCTCTGTGAGTCTGGGAGCCTCTCCCAGTACCTCGACCCTTAAAAGTATTTTCAATTGATGCTTTTAGGCTTGATTTCCCTGCACCGCGGCCCTGGTTTGTGCACTCCATCTGACTGTCGGTTTTTTCACCAGGTTTATCTGCGTGCAAATGTGTGACCATAGTCAGCCCGCTGCCTTGTGCTCTCACTGGGTCTGCTTGTTGCCACCCGGTGCCTGGGATCTGCCAACCACCGCCTGCGAGCCTTAGTTGGTCCAGCAGCTTTTTCCTGCTGGGACCCCTCTCCGCCAGCCGCTGACTCCACCCCTTTTACCAGTCTGGATGAATGGTTCATTGTTGTCCAGTTCAATTTTCTCTCTGTTCTGGTTGTGTTCCAGTTTCTACATCTTTGTTGTTCATAAACTTGGTTCTGCAAGGAGGTACAGTGTTCCCACCTACGCCTCCATCTTGGCCGCAAGTCCTCTTCAATCAATTTTTTTTAAAGAAGAAATAAAAGCTCCAACAATAAGAGTAACATTTCAGGTGAATTTGGTATCAATTGCAAATTTACAGACACTGATGTAATCAGACACATTCAGTTTACTATTTTGGCCAATCATAGGAAATGGGGTATCATGAAGCCAAGCAAGGTTAATGTTAATAGGTACAAAAAGTTCCAATGTTTATGGGTACAAAAAGTTCCAAAGTTGGAGGGTTACCAAAAATACCATGGCATTTGACTTTCTGCTTTTGAGCACTCCCCAACAATAGGGAAGTATGAACCTAGATGACAGAATGATCTAATTGTATAACTCCTACCTCTAAACTGCTGAAGGACATATGAGAAGCAGTTGTTCCGTCTTTAATTGGGAACTGAATCTACTGAAACAATATGTCAGTGTCAGCTCCTTGTGAATATAAAAGACGACCCAAGCTTTGTGCTCTTTACCCAACACTGACATACCAACTTGAATTCTGTGCTATTACATCTCAGTGAAAACTGAATTCCATACCTGCTTTTTGTCCAGTAACACTTGAAAAAAGTTTTCCATTCTGCTTTTAACCAAATGTTGCTTCTGACTCATTAATTTCAAGGACTAGCAAGAGTCTGAAATGTGTGAAAAAGTCAGAGAAATAATCACTCTTGAAGCAGAGCATTCAGAAACAAAGCAAGACCAAAGGAAACTAAAGCTGCCCTGAGATGACAAGGCCAGTGCCTCACTTCCTATCAAGCAACACACACTGACAAGATGAGCAGAACCAGCAGGAACCTCAGGTAGCGAGAGGCCTTCGCCTGCTTGGACGGTCACGTCCCCTCACCCCACACTCCTCACCTCCTGCTAGACTTTCTTTCTAAGCCCTTATCACCCGATACTATAATTTCCTATTCATTATGGCTACTGTTCATTGTATAACTTGCTCTGGTAACAGCAAGGATCTCTACTGGGCTTTGTTTCTTTAACTGACAGATCCTGGGGCCTAGAACAGTTCCTGGCATACAGATGCTGCTCACTAGATTGGTGCTGAATGAATGAACAGACAACGCTATTCTCTGCCATCTTTGGATCCTAGAGTTCAAAACACATGAAAAGGATTTCAGTCCCTTTCCTTTTTACCTAAAAGTCATGCTGAGGCTTCTCCCTACCCAAATTCTCCATCGAAAAATATTTTAAAAGAAAATTGGTATGAATTAACTTAAAAAGGTGCTACATGGATTAAATCAACAAGGAAATTTTATTTTACCTTAATTTGTCTGTTAAAAAAAGAATGCTTAGTAAAGCTTGGTGATAAACATGCCTCTTTATAAATGATTGTACTTCCTAAATGATTCCTTTCTCATTAGTCCCCTTGATTTAACCACCGATCACAGTAACTACACTGCTCAATTTCCTTCACAAAGTCAGGTTATTAAACCCTCATTTGTCCGGTGATTACTGTACTGTTTGTATAATAAATACTAACAGTCTGCCCATACAAGGCCTATCAACGCAAAGATAAGTGGTAAATACTGAATCTAGGCATCAGACCCTCCCCTCTACCACTCTGAGATGCCAGCACTCTTCCTGTCTGACTCTTCACCAACCCACCCTTAGTTTTAAAGTGCTGTTGATTCAAGTAGACTTGTATACACGAGAGAGACAGGGACATAAGTGAAGGAAGGATCATCTGTTTCTGGGCCTATGAACACAGGATACCAACAGAGTAGCTGTATCTTACTACTTTTTCCATTTTTCATGAAAAATTTATAAAATTAGTTATTTTAAATCTCTCAATCAAAAAAAGAAAGAAAGAAACGTGTTGAGGCCAAATGTGGTCTATGGGCATCAGTCTGCAATCTCTAGTTAAAGCCTCAGCTCGGAGATCACTGCACCCAGAGGCCCCTCCTACCCTCGCAGCCCCAGGGAGTAGATGGTCCTGGGGGAGGCCGCGGTAGCCATCCCAATTTCACCACACTCTAGTGGCACACCTTCAATGTGTCCATCTTCCCTGTGGAAAGTATCTTACCCATTTTTATATTCCCAACACCCAGCACTGTGCCTAGCACATAGGAGAAGCTCAAAAAATGTTTGAATAAATGAAAAATTGAGTGAGATCACCTGGGCTCAGACTTCGGTAGTTTTGAACTTGTCAGTCTGTTTCCTGGCTTTATACCTTAACCAACCAACCAACCAACCAACCTTAAGGGAAACATGCGGTGAAGGTCACCAGCATTGATACCAAGTGTCAGAAGGAAAGAGACAAGCCCACACCTGGAGAGTTACAGCATTTCTCTATTAAGAGGAATAAGCAGCCTTCAGCAAATTGAGAAAATTGGAAAAAAGGAGATACAACAAAGTAAAACCGTTGTATACCATGTGCCTTGTAGGAGATGAGCAAGTATATAAAAGAAAACTCAGTAAATTACTACCTGATTTCTCTATCATTCAAAATATCCCATGAACTTATTGATGAGAGTTAACTAAAGCATGTTAAAAATGTCTCTATTTTGTTTCTTAGCTAAAACTTTAACAACAGAAAAACTGTGCTTATCCAACAAATAATTATATTTCACACACAAATTTTACTCTTCCTGAAAACCAGTATATACAGAATTTACCGTTCAAGATACTATTTGGAAATAGACCCAAACGTGGAATTACTCTCCAAAGTAGGATCATACAGTAGCGAACTCAGCTTCTCAGTAATGGATCCTAGACCTTCACATTTCTTCTCTTTGTATTTTCTCATGATGAAAGCAGCAAGGAAAACTTACATCTGTGCAGAAGATGCACTGGCATTCCTGGAGTGTGGTCATCTTGTCCAAAGACTGTTCACACAGGCAGAGTTTGCAAGTGACAAGAGGAGCCAGAGCCAGGTCTCCAGGCGTTGGATTTTCGGCAGTCATAGTGAGGTACTGCAGCCTACCAAGGGAGCCCATCAGCCTGCTCAGCCTCTTTAGTCTCTTTAATCCCTGCAGAATGGTGCAAAGCAGAAAATATTATAGTCATTGATACAGCTAATGTTTAACCAACACAGTCGGATACCAACAGAGAAAATCCTCACCCTCTATGATCTCTAAGCGTACAGTGAATATTTCTGAAAACCATGGGCAAGCATTCCTAAAATTTAAGGTGACCTCACTGTCCTGACTCAAGTCATGTAAACTATGGGAATAATCACTATGAACAAACACTCCATTTAGGAGTCATGCAACTACAAACAATTCAATAGATTCAAAAATAATTAAAAATAGGATGTCACCCAAAACGCTCAACAAAGAACTAACATGTGATTCAGCAATTCTACTTCTAGATATATACCCCCCCAAAAAAATACTGAAAAAGGGACTCACACAGATATTTGCACACCAATGTTAATAGCAGCATTTTTCACATTAGCTAGAAGGTATTAACAATCCAAATATTCATCAATAAATGAATGGATAAACTAAATACAACATAAATATAAAATGGAATATTATTCAGTCTTTAAAAGGACTGAAATTCTTTTTTTAATTTTATTTAGTTATTTTTCAAGTACAGTTTTTTTTGTCTATTTCTCTCCATCCCGGCCCCCCACCCCATGCTCCCCACCTCCCTCCCATTTCCACCCCTCTTAGTTCTCGTCCCTGTGTCCTTCCTATTTGTTCCTCCAAATCCCTCCCCCTTTTTCCCCTTAAATTCCCTTCCCTCTCCCCTCTGGTCACTGTCCCCTTGTTCTCTATTTCAGTGTCTTTGTTTTTATTCATCTTGCTTGTTTGTTTTGTTGTTTAGTTTCCTGTTAAAGGTGAGATCATATGGTATTTGTCTTTCAGCACCTGGCTTATTTCACTCAGCATAATGCTTTCCAGTTCCATCCATGTTGTTGCAAAGGGTAGGAGCTCCTTCTTTCTCTCTGCAGCATAGAATTCCATTGTGTATATGTACCACAATTTTTTCATCCATTCATTTACTGATGGGCACCTAGGTTGCTTCCAACTCTCGGCTATTGTAAATTGTGCTGCTATGAACATTGTGGTGCATAGGTTCTTTGAAATTGATGTTTTAGGATTCTTAGGATATAATCCTAGCAGTGGAATTGCTGGGTCAAAAGGCAGGTCGATTTCTAGTTTTCTGAGAAAATTCCATACTGTTTTCCATAGTGGTTGTACCAGTCTGCAATCCCACCAACAGTGAACTAAGGACCCAAAAAGGACTGAAATTCTGACATACGCTACAACATGGATGAACCTTGAAGACATTATGCTAAGTGATAGAAGCCAGAGACTAAAGCGCAAATGGTATATGATTCCGTTTCTATGGAGTATCTAGAGTAGTCAAATCCATGGAGACTGAAATTAGGAAGGTGGTTGCCAAGAGCTGGAGGAAATGGAAACAAAGTTGTTATTTAATGAGTACAGGGTTTCTGTTTAGGATGTTGAAAAGGTTCTGGAAATGGATAGTGTGATGGTTGTAAAACAATGTAAATACAATTAATGCCACTAAATGATACACTTCAAATGTTTGAAATGACTCTTATGTATATCTTACTCCAATAAAAAAAATTTCAATAGGGTGTTAGTATTAATTGTGTTCCTTCATGTACAGTATTTCATTTATTCTTTTGCAACCATGAGAATTATCTTCTTCATTTTATAGAGTTGAGGTCCTATGACCTTAAGTAACCTGCCAAAGTTCTCCGAGTTTGTATACGGCAGAGCAAAACTCAAACCTCCATCTTGTGGGGCCAAGCCCAGTACCTGGTTTGTTACACCAGAGCTGGCTCACAAGTGAATTATTATGTAGTGGGCTGGAGCAGGGAGAGAGAGAAGTAGGAAGGCAGAGAGGGAGGGAGGGAGAGAGAACCATGGAGTCCATGACCTCGGCTATCATAAGTTCACTGAAACTTTACAAAAATAAAATGTGTCTCCATACACGGAATAACTACAGGAAAGGATATGTCTACACTGAAAAATAAAAATTATAACTGAAGTCCTTTCGCTAGATTGTTTTTATCCAGAATATCTTTAAAAGAGGTAAAATACATATACAAATAAGCTTCCTGCATATTCACAGTTTACTAGTATATTATATCAAGAAAATTCATGTTCTGATGAAATAAAAGCAAAATCCTGAAGTTCTTACTATTTTAAAAAGAGTATGGCAAATTCTAATAAATTTTGCCATAGAAATAATTGTAAATACCCTTTCTCTCTACAAGAATCAGACCTTTTCTTCCCAATTTTGGGGCAAAAGAAATAACACGTTCAGCATTCGCTACAAGGTCCCACAGTTGCTTAAGTCTCAATAAATAGGTTTAAAAAAAATAAAAGTACGAAAGCAATGGAGGGAACACCAAATTAAATGAGTTGGAAAGAAAAAATCTATGATATGTAACTGCACTGAGTTTCTTAATGTCATACCAGAAATAGTCAATAGTTACTAACTCTAGTAATGTGAAGTTATTCAAGGTTTTTCACCTACTACATGAGTGGCAGTAGAAGATCTGGTTAAAAATAGGATGCTAACCAATGATCGGCTTCCAGTATGACACCTCTTGGGAACAAGCCAATAAGGTTCAAGACACGGTGTTCTTATTTGATTAACTATGAATGAGTTACCATTCAAGAGCAAATTAAATTCAAATCAAACCATATATCAAATTCAGGATTTTGAAGTTAAAAAAAATCTCTTTAGTGTAAGTTAGGGGTAAAAAATGAATTATTTTACCTCTCCCCTCTTCCCAGTTTATGCTTAGAAAACTATCACCCATTTGTTTCTCCAACACTCCCCAAAGCACACCGAGGCTCATCAATCTTCCCCAACTGCTGTCTTCGCATCTCTGTTTTCCTGACACTGCTCACGCAACATATTCTCAATTATCTTCCCCCCTAAAAAAGATAAATCCCAAGTCAAACAACAAGAATTGTAGCCTGTAAATGCTTCCTGAGGGGTGAAGATGGGAAATGACACAGGCCAGAACCACACCACCCCACCCCACCCCACAAATGCCAATTGCACTTCTGAGCCCATCTGGGGAAAGCTGCCGTGAATAGATGAGTCTTGCTGTTTCAACCTAGTGAGAGATCTCGGCCCCCTTCAAGAAAGTCACTTATTTCTCAGCCTCAACCTACCATATTTTTCAGAGGACATTAAACAGGCCATTTTTTCAACGTTCTCAAAAACCACAGACATAATTAAATACCTTTTAGAAAGTATATCTTAGAAATAGTCTTCTTTGGAAGGCAGCACTAGAAATTGCGTTAATCAAGGCCATCTGAAACATAATCTTGTCCCTTAGCATACACTTAAGTCTTTACTCCTTAGTCTGTGACATACAGTATAAAATCAAAGTTAAAAAATTTAAATATATCCATCATCTCCAAAAGTTTCCTTCTGCCCTCTTTATCATTATTTTGTGTGTGTTATTAGAACACTGAATGTAAGATCTACCCTCTTAGAAAAATTTTACGTATACTACATAGCATCCTTTTTTAAAGATTTTATTTATTTATTTTTAAAGACAGAAGAAGGGAGGGGAAAAGAGAAGGAGAGAAACATCGATGTGCAAAAGGAACACAGACTGGTTGCCTCCTGAACCCCCCAATCAGAGACTCAGTCCACAACCCAGGCAGGAGCGCCAACTAGCAATCAAACCAGCAACCCCTGCCCCCTTACAGTCTGACACTCAACACAGCCAGGGTTAGGATACAGTATTCTTAACTACAGACATTACATTGTTCCGCTGGTGTACACTTATCTCTAAACTCACCAAGGTGCATACATTAAATACATATAGCTTTTTGTCTGTCAATGAAACCTCAATAAAATGGTTTTAAATATATATAAATTTTGAAATATATTTATATATAAATATTTCACGACAAAACTTTTTATAAAGCAGAGATGTTTTGTTTTTAAAAAAAATTCCAAGCATTCCAATCAGCAATTACTCATGACTCAGTGAGAGAGAGGAAAGAAGTCACGTATTTCATCTCTTTGAGATGTGAACAATCCAAACTAATGCTTCAAAAAGGAGTGATTTATTTTTCTGTGTTCAATAACACCAATTCCCTAAAGGGATGGCTCTCGAATGTTTTTAAAGCAATGGAATTCTATGAACACAGAATCTTGGGTAAACCACTGCTTTCCAAAAGATGAAAGCAGAGAGGTGCTGGGTGAAGCCATGCAGGGAGGCCCAGGCCAGGAGCCGTACACCTTCCCCTCAGCAGGCTCTCGGCCCCATCACAGAAGCTGCAGGCTTCACCGGGCACAGTGGGAAGACCAGCACTTTGGTTTTCACTCTCTGTAGAATCAGCAGTGAGTATTTTACAAATGAATGACAGACACATGGTGGGCATTTCATGAAAAAAGAATATCAAGAAATCCTTTCACCACTGATGTGTTAGAAATTGAGCTCTTCAAGCAATAATCAGGAGAATCCTGATGTTCGCTAACAAATTCCCCTGCACTTGAGATGTCAGAATGGCTGGCTCCATGGTGTCCGAGTTTTCTTCATTTATGATTGTTAATATTCACCAGTCTCCACAACTGGAAACTACCAAGAGTAGAAACTCACCCCCTACCCAAACTACTAGTAAATGGCGAGATTCAGAGCGGGTGTGCACAGGAAGACTGGCAACTCACTTACAGCTCCTCCTGACCCGTTCACGAGACCACATGTTCCGAGGTACACTGACGACTCACCCCTCCCCTCCAGTTTGCAAGGAAAGTCTTCCTCTCACAAAGCCCGTAACTCATTCCCACTCAACTTGTTTTGCCTCATACTTCACATTTTACCTACAATAAGAAAGTCACTTCAATGTTCTACTCTACTGCCTGATTTAAACCAGTAACAATTATAATTACTTCACCATTATGACAACTGTGATACCTCTTACTGAGTGTGAGAGCCAATGAGAAAATAATTTTTGGCAAAGAATGACAGGAAGGGAGGGAGAGAGGAATAAGAAAGGAAGGAATGAAGGAATGAGGAAGGGAGGGAGGGAGGGAAAGAAGGAAGGAAGGAAGGAAGGAAGGAAGGAAGGAAGGAAGGAAGGAAGGAAGGAAGGAAGGAAGGAAGGAAGGAAGGAAGGAAGAGCTCCCTTCAGATTTAAACTTTCTAAAGTAGGTGGTAGGACTGGGTGGGTTGGTGAGGGGCAGACTTCATCCAAATTGTAAAAGTATCACCTGCTTAACTAAACTAATCAGATAACAGGACAGAATGGCTGGGGCGTGCAAGGAAGAAAAAACGCTCTAAAGCATCTGATTTTGCGTTTAATTACCAGGAAGGGGAAATCAGCAGTTCCATCTATTCTGAGTGTCTCTTGCTCTAAAAGTGTTCATTATATGAGAAGCAAGTATTAGCTGATGGGAAAGAACAGGAAAGCCACTTTTTCCCCTCATGTATTTTCATTGGAATTGTCAAAGAAAGGAATACTTCAGAAGCAGTGTTGGAAGCACAAAATGTATAAGGAATTTGCCTGAAAAAGCAGTCTGCTCCAAAAACACAGACAGTGGGCGAGCCAACATTCAAAGTACTTTTAACTGATGTATTTATGCCCATTTCACTACCTAAAATCATAGTAGTTACTCCATTCCATAAAAAGATTATGTGGTTGCAAAGGACAATGTTTTATTAGGATACTTATGTAGTTACTTAGGAATTTTTACACCCTTCTGCCAAAACATTACAACTTAGTAAACTGATAAAGCACAATGAAAGAGACTAAGAGAAATAGAAAGCCACCAAAATGAACCAACTGGATACTACTGATATGACAGAATATTAACGTATGTAAAAATCCAGTTGGTCTGTAGTGAGGTCTTAGTTCCAGGCTACACTATGAAATTCTAAGAGAGTAACTCAAGAACAAGGGACACAACAGAAGAGGAGGTACACAAATACTCTCAAAACGTTTCCATGCCCATGCAAGGCACTAAGTCATCCGCGTGAGCTAACTACAATAAAAGGTTTGAGTACGTGACTGCAATGGGGAATGACTTTTCAGGAAGGGTAGGTGGCGGGAAGGTACAGCCTTGCATAATGAGAGATTCTCACAAAGCGAATATTCTAATACAGCAGAAAGGAACAGTGATCCAGAGGCCTTGTGAGGAAAGCTCTCCCAGTACCAACAAAGAATGACACGCCAGGCAACCAGCTTCCACTCAACACAATCTGAAAATTAGCTTGTATTGATATTGGCACTCTGCCTAACACAATGATTTATTTAGCTGCTGGTTTATGTTCTTAACAGAAGCCATTAGTGACTCTAATACTGACAGAGTCTAGTAGAGTATGGACATTCTTTAGCCATTTGCTGAAGTTCTACCCTAAATTTAGTCTGAAATGGAAGGTAGACCGGCTGGCTGGGAGAGAAGCGAGGACCACAGGTAGTATGGGTGGTAAGGACTTATGGCAGACCTCCATGCTGGCCAGTGTTGTGGTTCTATTCCTGGCTTACACCTTTGACCCACTCTCTGGTCATTCAAGGACTAGATGATCCAGCGTACATCCCATAATATCAGAAAAAAACAGTTCTAATATCTGCCCTGAGAGAGCAAGAACAAACTGGGACATACCCTCTCTAGTAGTTGGAGAAATGCAATTACTCAATTATATTTTATATCTATTTAATTATTTTTAAAAAGAACAATGCTCAAGGCCAATGAGTAAATACATGGCATCACATGTAGGACACTTGGTCATTATTTGAAAAAAAATAAAATAGATTGGAAACTATTCTTTAGAATAAATAAACCCAATAACTGAATAATTTTTACATGTGAGAGAAATAAACCTTCCCCTTTGTGAGGCAGCAACATTGATGGAAAACACTGTGGATCACTGAGCCTCAGGTGTAAAAGGGAAATTCCGTTCTCTTCCCCACCATTTTAAATCGTCACTTAAAGGAAATCAAGAAATGGAAAAAAATCAGTCTTTCATTCCTTAGGTTTAACATCTTTGTCTCGTCAGTTTCCAGGATGGCAATAATATTGTAACTTTGTAATTTGAAGACCATTATCTTTTAAAATGGACCGATATGCTAATATAGCTCTACTACCTTGTCTGTGGGTGAAAAGGACAGGCATGCCATCAAGATGGGCATCTTAAATATCAGCAAGCACTGTGTCCCAGATGGTCTGTTTACTATTTGAAATTAGGATATAAGTGAAGTCTGTTAGGACCATTTTAATAAGATCTGATTTTTTCCAGCTATAGTGAGATATAACTGATACAGAACATTGTGTAAGTTGAAGGTGTGCAACGTTATAACCTACGATACCTATTTTGTGAAATGGATACCATAATAAAGTTAGTTAACAATTCATCACCACATATGGTTGCAATTTTTTATGGTGAGAATAAAAACATCCAATTTTTATATTTTTCCTTCAAAACATACAGGTGAAATACATGGAAAGAGATAAGACATCGTGGTCAACGAAGATCATGAGGTTGTGGCAAACTAATTCTAAACTGTATAAGGTACAGAGCACCTAGGATATCAAGTTTTAACACTGGTAAAATGCTGATCCTTTTTCTAAAAAGCACGTTTCTTTTCTTCTTGCCTTCTTTTCATATTCTCATTACTACCACAGGGTAAGGCCCAAGAGGAGGAAATCCATTCTGACCCTTCCTAACAATAAAAACACATCAGAGAAGGCAGGAGTGAGAATAATAACAGGTCAATGATATTTTTGGCATTGTAATTTTACATTCATCATAGTAGCTCCCTCCTTGACACCACCATGTGCCCTGCCCACCCCTTTTTAATCAGCGGTTCCCTTGCCTCCCACAATTATTCACAGGGCCCTGCTGAATAATCTTCTTTCCCCTGCCTGGCACAACAACAAAGCACAGAAGCAGGAAGGAATGCCACTCAAAGGCAGGTCAGACAATGATGTAATTAACAAATCAAGGAGAAGTGTTATTTCAGAAAGGCTCACAGGAAGAGAAGGGCTGATTTCTTGGGTCATGACTTACCAGCAAACTGCAGTCACTAAAGTACAAATAGCTACATCAGTGCTTTTTTTTCCAAATGAATAAAAGCACAAGTAAATACTGCCTCTTCTATGAAAGTTAAAAGTTGCACATCACAATTTTAATTAGAAACAAATTTAAAACCAGTTTGGGAGAGGAATCTCCTCCATCACACTCTAGGCAAAGTGCAGAGTGTTCATTTTTGTATGCTTTTGCCAAATCATTTTCTTAAGGAACCAATAGTGCAGAACACAAAGTCAACACACAAAGAACTGGATTCCACAGAGGTTAGGTGCTTGGGGGTGTAGATGTACATGCAGCACCTACCTATAAAGAGTAAGCTCGTTGAGGAGACTGTCAACAAGTAGTTTCATGTAATCATACACAGGACAATTTGTGGGTTTACAGCTTCAACCATAGTCCACTGTGTGTGATCACAAGAGAGAAATGAGATGTCCTATTCCATCCTTCCAAAAAGACAAAGAACCAGTTGACTAAAGGTGCAGGACTCAAAATTTATGACTGCAGAGGAATTAGAAACCAAAGAGACATGGCTTTCCAAGCATGTGCTTTCCTAGATACTACCAGCCATGTGACCTGAAGTATCTCAAGCTATAAATATGAGATGTGCATTTCACTTAGGTTGTTGTGTTTTCAATTCAAGGAAGGGATCTGATCACAGATGAGAATTTCCTCATTCCATGTTGCAAAAGCACCAATCACTTTTAGTCTCTTTAATACATTGTTTTCCATTTTTAAGTAACTACTACAGTATGAAGCATTGGGTTACAAGTACTCACTGACCAAGTAAATAAAAATGCCAAAGTTAATAAAAATAAAATATTAGCACAAGACCTCCCACATATGCCTAAAGTGAAAAAAAATTTTAAATTAAAATAATTAAATAAATGGGCTTAGATGTTATGACTGCTCAGGTGACAGGCATCTGAGAAGCCACGGTTGAGATGACAAACATCAAAGTATTTTTCATGCTCAGGTAAAACACCACGAACTGAGAACTACCACTCCAGTTCAAACTCACTTCCAAGTTAATGTGAATTCCACGAGGAGAGAGGCCACATCTTATACAACTTTATATTCTGAGCACCTAGCATTCATATACCTGACAAACAGTAGGCACTCAATACTACAGTAGATACGTTTTCTGAATGTACATGGGAAAAAGAAAATATTAAAGGCCTGGTTCTCATCTGTATTTACTTTCAGCAATTCAAACCCTGGTGATTTACTGCAGCTAAGGAACTTCTATAAATTAAGGCGGGCATCCCTGAAAAAGTCACAGAACTTGGGAGCAATGGCTGCAGGTACCTACTCCGTACAGCCCCAAGTGGAAAGCATGACTTATGGGGGGCAGCGGGGCCCCTTTGCCAAATTCAAAATAATTAGCTGCACAAAGTAAGTTTAGCGCCAAAAACTGTTTGGACTTTGTTCCTCTATCAACATCTAGGTTCAGCATGATTCCTGACCTCTACCTCAAACTGGCAATTTCAAACACTTTTCCAAACCTCGCTTAACTAGAAAGTAATGCCCTTAGTCAAGGCCAGGGGCAACGCACAGGCCAGAGTTAGTTAAAAAACACCACAGAGAGATGATTCCAATGTCCTCATAAATGTTTCTAAAGCATCTAAAATACTGAAAGTACTTTTCAAAATGAAAAACTGAAATATACTTTCTCAGATAAAATGTATTCATATTATTGAAGAGAAAGAAAGTTTCTAGGAAGCTAAATAGATAAAATAAACTTTTTCCTTTCTAACTAGAGCATAACCTCTCTCTGTTGTACAGTTCAGCTGAGAAAACTTGGTTCATAATCTGGGAAACTCAAAAACTAATTATTATTTTTTTAAAAGACATGTCTTAAACTGACCTAGTTTGGAAGCTTGAATGCCTTTAAATTGCCAATAAACTGAAACCATTCATGAGAATGGTGCTTTTGAACGCTGAGAATGTTCTTGGGGCTCAGCACAAAGATATCTGGCATTGATGAGTGTAAATATTTGTAAAATTCTGGGTTTAGACAGTGTGTGACCACATTCAAACCTCACTTCCAGCACAGTAGTGTATAAGAAGCAAGTTATCTAGGGTGATTGGTTTGGGGGTGGGGAGAGATTGGTTGGCTTGAGGTTTTTGTTTGTTTTAAATAAAAAGCCAAGCAACCCAGTTCTGCAACTAAACATCTTTTTAGCATTCTCTACACATGTTTACAGTTTCAATTAGTCAGAGGCTACTTTTGAAGTGGGTTTTTATTTCCTTTCCTATTTTTCCCAGTTTACACCCACTAGAAAGGATAAAAATGCCAGACACAGGTATGCGAGAAGAAGGCATGAATTGGGAGAAAATGAGGCCTTGGATTTCTTAATACAATTCTCTCCAAGTGGCTTTGTGGATTTGCTGGGGCTATTGTTCTATTCCTCCCCGCCTCTTCTTCTCAAGTAGTTCCAGAAGTACTTAAAGGACTTTTACCCATGAAAATGACTAGGGTTGGGAAGAGTGGACAGAATAAAAAAAAAAGGAGGAACCAGCATAGGAATCATATGAAAAGGACCAGAGCTCAAGAGGCTCATCTCAGTGAAAGCTGCAGCTGATACTTTAATTAGCCAACAACTCAGTGAAGACTGGCTGGGTTCCTTCTGCCTCTTACCCACACCCTGAAAACTGAGTCATCTCCAAGTTCATTTTTTGCTTCTGCTTAGACACCCCCAAACTGCTGCTTCAGAAATGATAGACACATTTTTTAAAATTCATACCTGGCTATGTTCAAATAAACATCCAGAAATCTCAAGATATTCAATAAAAGAATACAAATAGTCCCATTAGGAGCTCCAGCTAATGTTGTGATAAGATGTGTGTGTAGCAGAAAGCAGTAAGAACATGAGAGACTATAGTGGAACCATGAAGACAGAGAACATTTTCCCAGAAAGGGGGATTTATTTCTGAGAAATCTGAATAAGAGAAGTATATGCATCAGGGGTAGACTTACAGCAGAATCACTGACACTAACAAGAAAAGCAAAAGGTACCCTGGAAGGGGCAAGCAAAAATACCTTTTCTCTGCTGAAAGAGCAGGAATCAGTTTCATTTTAACTTAAATTTTACTAGAGCAGTATAAGATTAAAATTTTTTTGTTGAAACATCAATTACCTGACAAAATAATCAGCATAATATATGGCCAAGATCCCATGGATAATATAACATCTTGTTCATATCTACATGTGTTAACATACTGCTAAGCATTTCCAAGTAACAGCAGGTAAACACTTGAGGTTATGCCAACTTTTGGTCTCCCCTTAAGAAGACATTGGGAGGTTGGATCTAACCTTGAATTTTCCAACATATTCTGTAGAGACTGTTTTAGCAGAAATTAGTTTCATCTACCTTTATAAAGACATCTATTTTTAGAAGTTAACAGGTGTTTAAGGCATTCGAAATTATTTCAATTCTGTATGGTTGAGGCACTAGACACAGTACAGCTAAAAACCCACGGTATCATAGTTTCCTCTCTGTTTTTCTTTTCTTAGTCCAAAACCATTCCCGTCTTGCAATGCCTACAGCTTTTATTTATTTTTTTAAACTTTATTTTTATTGCCTGCAGTTTTTTAAAAGCGTACTAAACCTACCTGGCTGTAGAGCTATGTTCCTCCGGCCGCTGGGCTTCTCAGCAGCCTCTGGCGCGCACACCGGAGAGGAGAAGCTGTTTCATTCTCTCTCCCCTGTCCTCCGAGCTCTGCAGCTGACAGCTCTGCACTCTGCAGGTCTGTAACAGTACTCGGGCTCCCAGACCTATTGGCCCGGAGGAGGAGGAGGACCTACAACCAACCACCTCCGCCTCGAGAGCCGCCAGGGCGCTGGGGAACCTTGCAGTGCGTGCGGCTCAGCTCGCCAGCAGCAGCGCCCGCAGCCCAGCGTTTATTTATACAGGAAGCGCAGGCGCGGCACTTCCTACTTCCCATCTGAGTCGCACTTCAACCGCAGGTGATGGTCTTTTAACCCTGTCCCGGCCGGCCGGCCGCCCGAGCCGGTCAGGGGCCCGGCGCAATCCGGTCTTCCTGAGCTGGCTCCACTTGGCAGGACCTCTCTTCCTTCTGGGACAGCTGATGCAGAAACGCTGAGCGGGGTATGCAGCTGCAGCCCCGTGCGCCCTCGTCCAGCCCAGGCAGGAGCAAGCCGCCTCTTGGCTTTCAGAGCTTGCTGCTTCTCTGCACTGTGTCCTCCCAGGGGGCCTCTGTCTCTCTCCTTCCCGGCTCTTAAAAAATGTTTTTCTTCTACTTCCAACAACCCAGACCTGCCTTCCCACCTTGCCAGACAACTGTTTTTAGAAACACGTCCCACGCACATCTCATCAAAACACCTTCTATCTAGTTATTAGAATATTATTAACTATAGTCCCTGTGCTGTACTTTACATCCGCATGACTATTCTGTAACAACCAATTTGTATTTTAATCCCTTCATCTTTTTAACCCATCTCCCCAAAACCCTGCCCATCTGGCAACTGTGGAAATGTTCTCTGCATCTATAGATTCAATTGTTAATAGAGACGTATTTATTGCCATTTTATTGTTTTGATTTCTCCTTCAAGAAAACCCTCTAACACTTGGAATACTGGTTTGGTGGTGATGAACTATGTATGGTGTCAGATGGGTACGAGATTTGTCAATATTATCACTTAGTAAGTTATATAATGTCTAATCATAGTGGTGTACACCTGGAACTATTGTAATATAATATTGTATGTCCACTGTAACTGAAAAATAAAAAAATGATTTAAATTAAAAAAAACACCTTGTACCTGATCTGTCCTTTTGTGTCCAATGATAAAATGAAAATTCAAGCAAATGAAATCAAGACCATCTTAATTTACCTCATAAAGTACAGTGTGCACCTTTATGAAAGAATGATTTCACTTTAAATGCTTTCTCAACAAATTATGTGGGGAATGCTTAGTAACCTAACAGGCTGTATTCTCAATTTTAAAAAATGTAACAAAGTAATCCAGAAACTGTGGGAGACTGTGGCGTGCCTTCCTCTCTCCAAAACCTTAGACAATTTGTGTAATGTTTTAAAAGAATATATACCTACTTACTCCCCCAGATGTCAAAAATCACAGTCCCAAATCTGCTGCAATTTACAAATGTCTTTACTCTGATGCAAGAATCTTTCTGTGCTCACTCCGCAACCTTACTCTACTTTTGCAACTGTACACGGGAATGTGCTTCCTAAAAGGGAGACTGGTAAACCCTTGGTGGAAGGGGTCTGAGTGTGCCAGTGAAGGGAGAGCACACAGCAAAGTGCTTCTCAGCTCTCTCCACGTTGAAGAAAACCTTCAGATCAAAGCTGGGCGCTGACGAGTATAGGATACCTATGTGGTGGTGGTAGGACAGGCAGGAAGACCAGCCCACTAGTGGGGGAGGAAGGAAAAGTAAGTGGACAGGGGAAACAAGACACTCAAAATTCACCATGGGGACACAAAGTAATGGATTCAGAGGATAATTGAGTTTGAAAAGTTCTCCTAGCTAGGTTAGTCTAAACGTTTAATTTTTTAAATGAGGAAACTGAAGTCCAGGGAGATTTAAGTGTTTGGCTTCAACCAGATGGGGGCAGAGCTGGAATCAAACCTTAATCTGTCTTAGATGCAAAAAGTACATGTCAATGAAAACAACCCCATGGATGTCTAACTTCAAATTTAGCAGTAGCTTAAGTTCTAAGATAAGCAACCTCAGGGTATTTTCTGGTGTAGTAACTGCTGTTGCTGGATAGGAATCAAGATGCATGAAGCACCTTCTGGGAGGTTGAATTTATTCATGAATGTTGATTCAAAAAGTTTGGCACCTTAAGCCAAAGTGCAACTGAATCCACTTTTTAAATTATCATGCAATTGAATAATAATCTCTTATCAATGGGATAAGGGAAGATACAGCTGCCAGCAGGAATGAAAACGTGGGTTAGGCAATTATCAGGCTGCCTGCTGTTGTAACTGGCAGAGGGGAAGAAAAATATATTGTATGATTTAAAAATATCAGCATTATTTTCAACCATGCAAGTTGATAAAAATTGCATTTAAATTTTAGTTGAACTGAATAAACATGTAGAACACTTCAGGATTACGTGAACAATTCTTTCCGGTCTGCCTAATGAGTCCACCGTGTGCTTTCAACTCATTCCCGCAGGCATTTATGGATCTCCTCCCAGAAAAGCACTGGACGCTTGGAAGACAAAGCTGGATGTGGTCCCTGTCCTCTGAGAGCTCTCAGTCCAGGGAAGGAGTCGAACAAGCAAACCCATTATCAGGGTATTCTGAGGAGTGACGTGATAAACTTAACAGGTGATGTGTCATGGGAACGAAGGGCAACATAATTAAATTTAAGGGAAGGAGCTGATAAAAACAATCCAGGAAGGCATCCCTGGAAAAGTGGCTTAAAGCTGAGTCCTCGAGTGGCCAGTTGGAGAAGCTGGAAAGAGGCAGCAGCCAATGCAAAGGCCTAGAGATGTGAGACTTCGGGCGATACTTTTCATAATTCAAACAGAGTGGATACATTCAGAACAAAAGAATGAGAGCCTGAACTAAGAGTAGTGACAACTGACATGAAATAGAAGGAAACGAGTGGAGAGAGATTTCAAAAACAGAATTATTAAGACCGTTAAGATCTGATTGTATGTGGGGGAGAAGGGAGAGAGGAGAGCCCAAACTGTTGGTGCCACTAACTGAGACTTGGAATAAAGGAGGAGCAGTCGTAAGGAAAATCATGATGGATCCATTTTAATTCTGCAGAATCTGAGGTGCCTCCGGGACATACTGGAAGACTTGTCTGGTAGGCCGGCAACACAAAGAGATGTAAGGTAGAGAGTCTTCTGGGAATTACCATCATTGAGGTGGTGGCCAGGAGATGACCAAGAGCTGAAATCACCCACAAAAGCCAGCATGCCGTTGAGAGAATCAGAGGCTTTGGACCCACACAAGCTCTATCACCCATTCATTATTACGTAAGTTCCAACAAGTTTTTAACATACCCAAAACTCAGTCTTCTCATCTACAGAACAAGAGTGATGCTATGCCTCCTGCAGGTTGCTGTGAGGTTAGAGAAGGTGACACTATCTAATCCTCCAGCTGGCTGGAGCTGCGCCATACACAGCCCGCTCAGCTGCACAGCATGGACTGGTCCTGCTACAGAGCAGGAACTCAGTCCATGTGCGTCATCTAAGAAGAGAGGAAAAGGGGACGTGAAAAGAAAGCAGTCCTCGAAGAGGCCCAAAGGAATGCCTGTATTTAAAGGACAAATTAAAGAGAAGCCCTCAAATAAGTCTAAAAAGAAACTGCTTATTTTAGACTTGAAAAGTACACATAAAATTTGATATCTCAGACTGAGAAGTAGAATCTAGCCACTATAATCTACAAGAGTGGTTTTTATCTTTCTAAGCAATAACAGACATAATATTACAAATTATAAAGGTTATAGTCCACATTGACCTTCATCATAATAAAGAATTATTTCCTAATCAGAATTATAAACTTTCCCTAAGAAAAGGCAAACCATATGTTGACATGAATGGTAAGTAGTCCAAACTGTAGTATTATATTAATGTGTAAGATATCTAAAGTTATATTAAAAAATAAATAAATCTAAAGCATAGTTAATATTTTCCCTGTGTATGAGGCAAAACTATAGAGAAATATATATATATATATACTAGATTACTAGATATGTATGTGTAAGACTCTCATATAGTAATATATGCCATAGTATATAATAGATAATATCAATAAATAATAGATATATACTGTAAAATGCACTGTGGTCCTACAAAAGAATCAATAAGTGGGATTTCTTCTTTGGAAAAGTGTTCTCTTTAATATGAAGAAAATTCAAGATTTATTCTTCTGCTATTGAAATTGACCTTCTAATCTACCTTAATATGTACGTTATGTAACTTAGATGTGACATCTTAGTCATATTCTGTGTTAAAACATCAAATTGTTTTAATGATTTGTTTGGTTTCAAGAAATCAGATGACAGAACACAAGTGTTGGGAAACCGGCTTCTGCAATAGGTACAGTTCTTTTTCCACAGGAAAAAATTTAAGGCAAAGGTCATGGTTTTCTGCCTCTGTCTGCATGGTAACTTCTCATTTCTAAACAACTACAATTTCATTTGCATTTTTCTGTTGCATCTAATGGGGCTCAACTTATATATTCAAGTCAACCTTTATCAAGAATATTGAGTATAAAACTAAGAGTAAGACACAGTACAAAATGAGACTAAGAACATTACTAAACAATGTGATATAGACTATGCCAGAGATGTACTCAGCTGGGAATGGAAGTCAAACTACATGGAAAGTCAAAATTTAACTCAGAAATGATCATCCAGTTACCTCAGACTCGACAACAAAAGTTTTCAAAATGCTGGGGACATGTCACTCAGTTCTATTTCAGTCACACACCAGAGCACAGCAACCTCTCACAGAGCAAGTCAAAATCAGCTGGGCCCCAACAAGAAAAACCTGACCGGAATAGAGTCATGGGCCGCAGAAGCCTTTTCAGTCAACATGGAGCACATATGTGATAGTAGTGTCATAGATCATACTGGAGCTGAACTGAAAGCAACAAATGAGCGAACAAGACAAAAAAACAAATAAAAACTCATAGACACAGACAACGGTAGGTGGAGGAGGTAGTAAAGCAGGGGTGTCAGACTCATTGTCACCGGGGACTACATCAGCCTCACAGCTGCCTTCGAAGGGCCGAAACAATTTTAGGACTGTCTAAATGTAACTGCTCCTTAACAGTTGAGGAGTTGAAATTACATTGGGCCCTTTACTAAGTAAAGGGTAAAGGAGGTCAAATACATGATGACAAGGAGAACTAACTTTGGGTGGTAAAAACACTATGCAATATACAGATGATGCATTATAGCATTGTGCATTTGAAACATATAATTTTATTAACTACTGTTGCCCCAATTAATTCAATTTAAAAAAGACACATCTGTTAAATGGTACATTAGGAAAAACTGAAATGTATGTAATATATATTTTAAATAACCTTTATTTTAACTGGTGACAAATAAGTATAAAG